TTGAAATAAATACTGTTGCATGTATTTATGCTGTCCTTCCAAGGGTGTGGTGATGCCTTTATATCATTTTCTCTAGTAGAGCGTGCACCCATTGTCCCATTCCTACATAATTACCCTCATCCCAAAGGTTAGTGAATCAGTGCAGGAACTCTGATCAATATTAAGCCTATGGACTCCAGTAAGGAATTAATTATACGTAGAAATGAGCGCATGATCCACTGGGGACACACTATTTTCTTTGTTAGTCAGACTTGGTGTGAAGCTCCATTCTTCAGCAGACTTCTGTAGGCTCTTTCTCTGATTAGGGGGGCATGAGAATATTTTAAATATAATGAAATCAGTGTTAGTTTATAACCAGAGTTCATTGTTCTGCATAATCTGATTATTTTGTACATTTGCTTTGGAAAAAGATCATGCATGCTTTTTAAAGATTGTAAGAAGGATTAACACCAAGATATTTTGGTGTCTCCTCTGTCTCCTCCAAGGGGAGAGGGCTACACATTTATTCAAGATCTAGGAACTGGTTGAGGAAAAATGATTCTCTGTTTTACAGTTTGGAGTGGAATTTGTTCTACTGTACTAGAATTTTTCTGCTTTTACAAATCTAGTAAACTTAAGTAGACATCTGATCTATTTCAATTCTAAGGGCACAATTATTAATCAGTCAGTAATAAAGGTCTATATGGGTCAGAACATCCAATTATTGCTTTGCCATTGTTTCCATTACAGTCAGTAAGTCCACTATTCCTTTGGAGATGGAGTATTGCACTGGGTGTGGGGACTTACTCTGGCCTAGGATTCTGGGTTGTCCCTCCAAGTGATTTTCATATCATTCACAAAATACCTTTTATTGCTTTTATCTGACAGCTATCTCAATCTTGCCCATAGTCAGTTCCCATGCTTATCTCCCTAATCTGGGTTCTCACTCAATAAACAATATCATGATCATAAACCATTTGTTCCCTCACTCAATAACTTTGTCACCCTGCAACTATTTGGACTTACATTCCTCACCTTTTCCATTTCCTCTAGATCAGCACTTCAACAAAAGTCAAGATCTGCTTGCACCCTTACTTTTACACTTTCATATGGGTAAATAATCACTCCCTTTAATTATACTCCCCTCACATCCAAACTCAGTTAGTCGTAACTACTTGGGCTCCCATGACGTACCAACAGCTGTGTATCAATCCCTAATAGTTTTATGTTGCTAAGTGGGGATGTGAAACCATTGGCATAGATACAGTAGGAGATATTTGGGAACAGTCAGACCCATAAATCCTGGTCACAACATACTACAGATCAAATGGCAAAAAAATAAAAAATAATGTATATATATTATATATATGTTTTTTCTGGTTATAAAACATATATATATATATATATATATATATATATATATATATATACCATTCATAGTTAAAAATGCATCACACTCTCAGTATCTTACAGGTTGGTTTTACTTTTACCCCCTACATTATCCATTGAATCTAATCCCACGAGCCAACTTCCTCACTCTCTGGGTAAAACTCATAACACCTCACATCTTCACCATTCTGGTGCTGTCTACTTCATTACCACACACAGTCTTACATAACCTTGACACATTCCACAACTCCTCCCACAGATAAATGATACAATATCATATTCCAAAAACCTTACTGAATGTTGACTCTGTATACCATACCATCAAGAAATCTACAAGGCTGTCCCCATCTATTGGAACTCATCTTATCTAGTTTACCCTTCAAACAAAACCATAATGGGACCTCTCCCTGTCTATAGGGATCCAACTAATCTCGCCTGTCTGGTATCTGTTAGAAACATCTTCTTGCAATGTGGGAACTTCTCCTAGTTGCACCCACAGTATCACATCAAAAACATATCTAGCTGTTTCTCCTCCATGTGGATGTGGTCTTGTATTTTAATCCTTTCAGTACTGGCCCTAATGGTAAACACTCAGGAGTCTATAGAACCTGCCTTTGCATTCTGACTGTATGACAGTCACCTCAATCTAGAGACAAGGCCTATCCATTTCTCAGCCCTGGTAGATATGGGAATTATCTCCCTTGTTGCTGAAGGTCTTGGAATGGAGTTCATCTGTATTACCAACAATCTCTAGAACTTCACAACAAAAATGAAGACATAGCCATGTCTATTCACTCACGGTAAAATTGGAGAAATAGCTTCTCAGCTGTTACTCTTCCAAATCATCATGCTCCTGATGTTCTGACTTTGAGAAGGGTGGTACGTGTGCTATGGTGGGGGAAGAATATTTCTACTTTGTAAATGAATCAGAGATTGTCGTGGGCAAGGTAAAACATTTCATGCTTCTCTAGGGATAAGGCATCAACAGCTGGGTTATGGATACTTTTCATCATGGACTTGTAGAATGATGTATTTTTATCATGGGGACTCTCAGTTATATTAAACCACCTAATCATGGTAATTACCTCCCTTCTCATATGACCTTTTACTTTTAAACTGTTTTCAAGATTTCTCCAATCCAGAACATCAGGGTTCACCAGCAATGATATCAGTTTCTACATGGGAGTCATTATCATCCTGAAGTTCACTGCAGCCCATATGGCAACATTCCTGTTCAGTGGGAAGTAGCCAGGTAGAGACATGTCACCCCCTATCAACCTAAAGAGAGCAAAGTCAGGTTCCTCCCTATGTGTATTTCACGAGACCATCAACCATCGGCCCAAAATGGTGATACAGAAAAACCAGCTTATCTGACTTCCTTTTCGTTCTCCCCTCATCTTGAAAAAGACTTCTAGTCTCTTTTCCTGTGTAGAATAGAGTAAGCTGCAATCTGCCATTAACACTAGCCTCTGCACAACCCAAACTTGTCCCCTGGCCAGATGTGATACAGGCACCTGCACTCCTTTGTTTTCTCCTGTGCTTGCCTGTGCATGCCTGTGCTTCTTCTGCAGACCTCTTGTGCCCCAAACAAAGGCCTCTTTTCTCCTTTCTTTGTCCTTTTAGCATGCCAAAGCCTTAATAAAACATCAGTTTTCACTGAATGGAAGTATGAACTCAAACAAAATACATGCACTCTGTGCAAAACGTTTGTTGCCAAAGTAAGGATTTATAGAATTTCTCTTTGTCTGCATCTCTAAATGGAGCTCCTCTACTTATGTTGACAAAATTAAGTCCAGTTTATTATTAGAGTGGAACTTATTTTCAAGATGATTTCATATGTTTACTTCTTTCAAAGTACATCCGGTTAAGCAGATTAAAACAATCCAATTGTGAATGTTAGTCATGCTGCAGTAAAGTAGCTCAAAGGATAATAATTGTGTTCCTAAGTGCTTGTATTATACTCATGGCTACATTTGATTTTATAGCACTGATTATTGAAGTGAAGACCTTATAAGTTCCAAGCAAAAGTGTTATCACCAAGCTGTGGACAAACCTTTCCATTAAAACAAGATTTTTTTTAAAAGATAAAAACCCAGCAAAAATGGGACAAAATTTCAAAACAGGATTATAGGGGACTAACAATGATTAGTACATTGCATACTGTTATCTTTGAAGTCTTTGAAGTAGTCCTCATATCACAAGATATAAGCATGAAATTTGATAAATTTAGGCACAAATTTTTAACTTCAAAAATCATTTTAAAAATAATAAGCATACATACATGTCATAAAAATAATGAATTATTTTTATATTAAAGTGAAAAAAGTACAGAAAAATTAAATAAATAAAATATGACAACAGTATCAACAACAGGAAAATAAATAAGTGGTACAGGATTTCAAAACATGATAGGAATTTAACAAAGGGTGTTATCGTGCATATTGTTAGCTTCAACATAGTTGCTCAGGTTACCATACACAGGCATGAAGAATTGAACAAAAAATATGATTTCAATTTGAACAGTTTCTTTCTCTTTCACCATATCTAATATAACATTTTTATCTTACTTTCAATTTCTTGCAGCAAGGAGATAATAGGATGTTTACACATTGAGTCTGATTTATTTCATTTATAAGTATAATTTCCAGTTGCATCCATTGACATATAAAAGCCTCTAGTTTATTCTTCCTTATGGCTAAGCAGAAAAATTGTATAAAAAATCCACATGTTTTTTATCCACTCTTCCACTAATGGACATTGGGTTGTTTCCAAGATCTGGCTATTACAAATTGTTCAGCTACAACCATGGGTGCACATATATCCTTTTGGTATGATGTTTCCAATTTTTCTGGTAAATACCCAAGATAGGAATAGCTAGGTTGAATGGACCCTCTAATCCTACATTTTGGGGAATATCCACGTTGATTTCCATAGCAGCCTTAAATGATAAATAAATATATGAAAAAGTTTCAACATCAGTAATCATTTGAGAAATGCAAATTAAAACAACACTGAGATATCATCTTACTCCAGAAAGAATCTCTAACATAAAGAAATTAATGTATAACAAGTGCTAGGGAATGTGGGATAAAAGGAATGATTTTATACAATTGGTAAGACTGCAGACTGGTAATGATGAATTTTTTAAACCAATTATTTAAATGAAATAATCATAGAATTATACTTATAGTATAAGTTAAAAACTTGGACCTAACATACAAGAATAAATGACAGAAATCTAAAACTGTAAAATGAGGGAGTAATAAAAGAATATAAAATGATACAAAACTCAAATATATAGTAATTATATAATGTACATATGTTACATTTACAAAACAATTCAGATTTATAATTGATTCTGACTGGTAGTGAATCATTGTACACAGAAAAAAAGCAATCAACAAACACAAAAAACACAGAGATAGAAAAAACTGAATAAGGAAACAAACACTTTCACATGTAAAATATTTACTGTGAATTGCTGTTCATTATAAAAATATATATCGCTATCATTTCACATCTACCACTTCAGCAACACTGGTTTAGAATTGCTTGTTGGTTTTTTGATGAATGGATACAAGCTGAACTTATATGAAAAGATTGATTCACATGTCTGAAGAGGTGAGATGTGTTCACTTCTTCCACATGGGTCTGCAGATACCCTGTTCGCGAGTCATGAAAATAAAAGGAGTAATAGTTGGAAAATAAACATGGGTTAGGGCAGAAGTTTTAACCAGCCACCAAGCAGCTTTGTCATAAAGATAAAACCAAACAGTCATTATAGAAGTCAGGGCATGGAATAATACAAAGGCACAGACAAGCATGAGGATGCTTTGCGAAGCTCTGGTCTCAGGGGAAGATCGTGATGAGCTGTTGTGTCTGTGAATGTACTGAGTTCGCTGCCTGTGCTGATACAAAATGAAAACCATGGAGCCACTGCTCCAGATCATAAGTTCCAAACAGAAAATGTCATGTGATAATGACAATGCCACCAAGATGGAGTTTTTTTCTTTGCTAGAAATCACAGCTGAACAGTATTGATAATCTATAGAGTTTGTGATGTTGTCATTGCGCCTTTTTTCATTCAGAAGCATAGGAACTCTAATGTTTGCCAGCAGGTGCAGGACCCAGCAAATGCTGGGACAGTGCCTAATGCACTTTAGGACTCTCACTTTCAATTCTGCCCACCTGGACCTCCGGGGGCTGATGGTGATGGCCTGGAAGACACTCATCAGGCAGGTGTTGCTGAAAGACACACCATTGCCCACCGTTAAAACATAAAAAACAAGTTTGCATCCAAAATTATCAAGGAAGTCTTCCATCCCAAGTGCTGCCATGGTCTCTGGTATCCCTTGGAAGAGAATGACCAAGAGATTGGCCACTATCAGGTGCCTGAGAATAAAGTCTGTTGGCCTGGTCGGGTGTCCACTGAAGTAAGTGAAAATAGAATGATGTAAAAGGGATAGATTCCCCAGGATTCCAATGACAACTGGGAAAAAGAAGAGGATTACAAATTTCAAATCCATAGATATTATTCTTCTTGTAGTGAGCAAGGATTCATATCAACAGATTAAGACATAGGATTCTGTAAAGAAACGCTATGATGAAATGATTTTATACAAAATTAACACAAAATGATGCACATCTTTATTCCTTAAAATTTAATTTCAACTATATATTGCTTTTAAATCGGAAATGCTCCTTTTCATTATATAACATTTTAAATGTATGGATAACTGTAGGATATGGCTTACCAATAGCAACATACTTAGGCCTCACAACATGACGGTTAGAACTTAATAATATGTGCTACCAAAAGAAGCATTCTTTTGGTAAAAAGAATGTATGTGACTCAACAAAATATCAAGAAGACACTTGGACCTCTGAGCCATGCTTCAGTGACACTGTGATTGTTTGTGCACTGTTTTATCACAGTGTCAGAGTGCTGGTGATTTCAGAAGTATAAATAGATAGATAGATAGATAGATATAGATTGATAGATCTATTCATATGTATATATCCTGTACATGATATATATTTATATGTATAAAAATTTTCACATTGGAAACCTTCAAATAGAAATGTCTGACAGTGCTAATCCTCATTCTGTGTCAATATTTTATTTATAACACAAAATGACTCCTAAGTGAGTAGACACATGTCTTTAAAATTAATGATGATCTACGTAATCCCTCAAATTCTGTTTGGATTTATTAAACAAGGACTAAAGTTATAATGACAATAAAAGTTTTTCTATTGTCATTAAAAGAGAAATTGCATATAATATTGATTATAAAAATTCATCCAGTACAGTAGATATTTAAGTTATAGAAACTGAATTAACGCTCATCAGAAAACTTATTTCTTTTATTAATTTAAAAAAATATAGTAGTATCATTCTATTTGAGGATGATGCCAAAGCACATAATGAAAATAGAATTTCAAGTCTTCATGCCACATGCATTGTAATGGCACACAGGACATGCAATCACAAAATGACCTTAAAGTTTTAAAAATGACTAACTTAAGACACATTTGAATAAGGAATATATTGGCCTCATTTTCTCTGCAGTTAAATAACTCAACTATTAATTTAATGTTTTATGAAAATCACTTTTCCATATGACAAAAGAAAAATTGTCTCAACATGGCCAATAGACTACAAATATTTTCATAGAGCTTTAGAAATTGTCTATATTTGTGACCTCAACACAGTGAAGAAACTCATTATTAATCAGGAATTGCCATTTGACACATTGATTATACAAAAGTTACTGACCCGACTTTCTCTAGCCCATTCATAACAGTCAATAGCATTCACTGAAGCAAGAATGCAAGTATATAGGTCTTTCTGTGATTTCCACACAGCACACTAAACAGCACAGATTTCTTGATCACAAACATATGGATCTTCCAAATGATGTGCATCACTGCTTGGAGCAGTAGTCACATCCATCTTTCACAGAGGGAGCTGTTAGAGTCTGGTGAGAGTCTTAATCCTCTAGTCTCTGTCTGCAGCTCAGCGCATCCTTCTTCCCTGTGTGCCTCTGTCACCCCAGATGAATTGCTTTTCCAGACATGGAGACTCATGCAAACACAGCTCCGGTATCACATCATTCTCTTAAAGCCTTTATTTCACAGACTAGTACAAAAAATACACACCCAGCACCTACCAGTTTTCATGTAGCAGGCTGACAGACATGAACCCTCCTGGTTGTGTAGAAGGGAGATGGCCAGACCCCAAGATATTAGTTATGGTTTTGTGATCTCAACTCCCTCTGAAACACAATTACCATTTCACCTGTAGTTTCCATGACAGCACATGTTCAGGCACTAGAGGTGACTGCAAGAAATAACTAAGAAAACAAATATGTCATTTCCAGATCCCAATTCACAGACACAATTAGAAGTTTCTGTGGATATCTCCATGTATAGAATTTGAGTGCTTTGCAGAATCCTTCCCCAGCAGCTACTGGAACACAATCCCATAGGGTGCAAGGAGAAAACTTGTATGTTTGAAAGATGAAAACTCAGTGAAGCCTGTGTATGTTCCCCAATTGTAACAAATGCACAAATATATGTACTATGTGTGTGTTTCCATAAACATATTGTTTAAAATAAATAAACATAGAAATTACATATAATTATAGACATAAAATTATACAATTGGGAGATATTTACACAGAAATAGATATAGATGATATATATATATATATATATATATATATATATATATATACAAACGATCTTAGACATTTTCAAAAATGCAACAAAGGCAATACCATGATGAACCTTAATTACAGTGATTTAAAGTATGTTCCTAGAACTTGCTACTACCTGACAGGGGATCTACCCAGTGCAATCCTGGCCATAGTCACCAGTGTCAACTTTCTGCTTTTCTGAGACCCACGCACATGAGGTCCTATAGTAGTTATTCCTTTTCACATGGATAATTTCTTGCAATATACAATCATCACTATTTATATATTTTATTCACAATAATAGTTTCTCATTTTTAAAAATGAAATATATATATATGTATATATATGTATATATATATATTTTTTAACTTTTTCTTTTATTTTTGAGTCAGGATTTCAATGCGCCTTAACAGGCATACATTGAACTCTCTACGTAGTTCAGGCTGGCCTTGAACTCATGGTGATCCTCCTTCCTTAGCCTTCTGAGTTACAGAATTTCAGGCATGCTTCACCACACCTAGAGAGATGGAATAGTTCTGAATGTACAGTCATATTACATTTTCTGTATTTATTCACACATTGATTGCCATTTAATTAAATTATGCATCCTAAGCATTGTGAACAAGCACTAGCTATCACTTCAACATACTCATTTAGTTTCCTCTAGATACATACTCAGCATGCTTTACAGTCTATATGTTTAGTTTTATTTTTAATTTTTTTCATGAATCTCCCTCCTATTTTTCACAATGGCAATACCAATTTATGTTTCCACCAATAGTGTCTGAAGAGTCACATTTTGCCATATCCCAGTCACCTCAAGAGCCATTCTAACAGTGTGATGTGATATCTCACTGAGGTTTGGATTTACATTTCTTAATGATTTGTGACTGTGAACATTTTTTTTTCATATACCAGTTAAATATTTTTTTTCCTCTGAGAAATGTCTATTCATTATTTTGTCAATTGGGGGCAGACAGTTGATTAATGGAATATCATTTACTCTTTATTTTATGCTTCTGAGTTTTGCTTTTTACTTATATGTTCTTGTAAGACATAATGAGTATATTCTTCCTGTGGGGTAGTTGGTACATGTGCATTTCTTACAATGATAAGCTTAATAAAAAGCAGGTGAACTATCATGGAAAAATTCTACAGCTGATTCAAACAAAAACCAAAAAGCCATAATAAGTGCACTAAACAATTGTCAATATGGGTTTCAACAAAAAAGAAAAAACTAACTTGAAGGGAAGATAGGGTGGTATATTGAAAGAGATGAATGACTAAATTCTCAAGTCAAAAAACCCTTTATGCTTGAAAATTATTATTAACCAAAGAAAGAGAAATTCTGAGCTAATAAATGATAAATGGATATTGAGATTTTCATACTCCAATTATGAAAATGAAGACAATTTTTGAATATTCCCATAAACTGGATCTATGATATACATCTTACTGAACTAAAATAAAAATATAAATTATGACACTGGAGAAATAATTTAGGAGACATGGTTTTGTAACAAACTTTAAAAAAGTAAAAATTATATCCACTAACCTCATTTCTTTGAAATTTGAGCCTACTCATTTATTTACACATATACTGATGAATTAGAAACCAACCAAATTTGAGGATGAAGAAAAATTATCCAAGATTTGATATGGAAATGAAATGAAGAGACAGTATAATTTGCTTTTCTGTCGTGAGATTACACCTTGGGGGTGATAATATTCAGAATAAAGGACAGAATGAGACCATCTTGTTTTCTACATGTGTATCTTTCACTTAATTATTGGAATAAATGATGTAAGCATAAAAGCATGACATATAATTGATTCACCAGAGTTATAATCTGTTCTCAGAAATGATATAGGTGTGAATATTTGGAATCAAAAAGAAAAAAGTGCATAATTTCCTTTATAAAAAACATACTTTGTAATATACACAAAAATTTTGGTACATTTATGAAGATGGATAGAATTGAAATTGTTCTTTTTTGAAAATGCAGCTATGTGTAATTTATGATATATTATTTCATTTGTACAAAATTTGCTTGCCTAAACCCCTCTTATGAATGGAGCCAGGAGGACCAGAGCTCAAGACCAGCCTGGATAACTTAGTGACTTAGTGAGAGTTGCCTAAAATAAAAATAGAGGAGGTGGATGAAGCTCAGTATGAAAGATGTGAGTTCTATGTGCTCATATCCACTATTAAAATGGTGATTTTCTTACAAGAAAAGTTAGCTACACAGATGACTCTTCCTTTCATGTCAAGACATGCAAAGAATCACTAAAAACTGAGAGCAGTGCTTATTTTTGGCATTATGATGTTATTGCATGAAATGTACAAGAGATTTCGAGGCTAGTAAATATTTGATAGTACAACTGGACCCTAACTGAAAAAATATGAAATGTTTCAATTTTTTAAATTATCTGGCATATATAATATTATTATATGTATTTATGGTAGATTTTGAAATATGGAGGTATGCACTGTTGGGGTTAACTTAAAAGAGCAGTTTGAATTAAAAACAATTTTTTAAGAAATCAAATCACAAACATTAATGCAGAGGCAAGACGATTATATGATTATGCAAGAGAGAAGAAAAATACGTTTGATATGTATATGAAAAAAAAGAAATATGTAATGATGCAAAGATGAAAATATTGTTATGGGGTTGTACTCAGTGGTGTCGGTGCCTGCCTGCCAAGCATGAGTTAATGAGTACAAATCCCAATACAGAAAAAAAAAACTAGAAGAAGAAAAGAAAAAGAAACTACTATTTTAAGGTCCAAAAATTTAAAGATGTTTGAAAAATAAGCTTCAA